GAATGGTGAACATATAAAATTATATTAAAAAGTTGAAGTATATCTTGTTTTAAAAAAAGAAAAACCCAGAAGTTTCTTCAGTAATGTTTTAACCACCTTGGAAGTTGCCTATAGCTATGTTCATGCTGCTTGTGTGTATGTGCCCAGGGAGGGCGGTACATTTGTTTCTTTAGAAGAAATAAAGAAAAACATAAATTAGTGGGGGGAAATGATATGTTTGCTGGGTTTAAAGTCTTAAAGCCCTTGTAGGAATGAATGTACTATGTGGAAACGAAAGCTGTGGCACTGGTAATGTGCTCAGGATGGGGTTCCAGTGACTTTTAAAGGCAGCCCTCTTGGTTCATGGGCCAGAGCGTCTACACTCCATCTTGTGTTATAAGATGTTAAGCGGAATCCACTCCATTCCAATCTTTGTGGAGTCCTTTCCTTGGTTTTGAAACCAGGCTCTTGGAGGCTTTTTGGAACATTTCATTTTTTTGAGGTTTACATCATCCTCTTTCTGAAATCTGTCCATCTTGCGTTGCATGAAGATGCTTTGAATCTGGGAATCTCGCTGTGCATCATGGGGCAGCTCTTAGTTCCTGGCAGTCTCAGATTTTGGTAAGTTAGAGGACGGCTGTTGGATACCTACTAACATCTGTCTTTGCTGATTATAAAATCAGAAACAACAACGCAGATGCCCATGGTCCCATTAGTATGCATGCCTTTCTGGTTTATTGATTTCCCGGAATATTTACCAAGTTTCATGTCCGTATGAGGGTTGTTCTTGGGATGTATTGATTTAAACTACTTGCATTTGAAGCAGTCACGGTCCTGAGCCTTTCCCCTTCACAAATAACAGCAGCTGGAGTAACCTCGATGGGTAGCATCAAAATCTCCACCAATGCGTACACCACTGCTGAGTGAACCAAGGATTGATAAACTGAAGTTTTAAAATGTCTTAGCTGTTATGGGCGAAGTATATGAAATCCTGTAAAGCATAAGACTATTTCTAATTCCCAGAGTTTGTTGAGGAAGTGTTTTGTATATAATTCTTATGAAAAGCGAATCTTTCTTTTTCACTCAGAGTAAGGGCCTCCCTGGTCCCTTGTCCAGGACCTATCTGACTCTCACACCTCCCCCCACCCTTGCTCACTCCAGCTGCAGAAGCCCCTGGGTCTGCTGGCTCCCAGGATCCTACCTGCTGAGGAATTTTGAACTTGTTGTGCCAAAACCTTACCTGGAGCACTTTTCCCCACGGGTAACTCCAGCAGTGACATACCTGCCCACGTCTTATCAGTGTGCCCCTTCCTCATCACCTTAGCGCAGATAGCCCCACCCCCTCTCCCTCAGGGCGGGGCACCCCCTGTCTCACTCTTCCCGTCCCATCTTCCCATCCCATTTTGTGTTTCTTATTTTTATAATTGTTCCCTCTCTGGGGGAGCTAGGATTTTGTGGGCTTGTTTTCTGTATGTTCATTGGTGAGCAGTACCTTGCATTGGCAGGTGCTAAATATTTGTTGAGTGAATAAATGCAATATGCAAAATTTAGTAAGTTTTAAACTTCCTTACATATGGGGTGGGGGGAGGAAGTACATTTATCCTTTCTCGTGTGGTCAGATGGAGTTTCGGATAACTTCTTCCATTTTTAAATAAAACCGGAGGAAAAATGATGAATTTCTTAAATACAAACATGATTTTAAAATGTTTCTTAACTTATCAGAGGTACCCAAAGAGCTAAAAATAAGGTATGTTGTAAGGGAATTCATTTACTTTCTAAATCACACAGGGGCTGTGTGGTTGACTCACAGCCTGCATTCAGCTCTGGGTAATCCAGCTGTTGGTGACTGTGGTCAGCCTGTTCCTCTTGCTGGTGTAGGAATGGGAGGGGGTTCTGGTTTTGAAACTGAAAGGGGAGACTGCGAAGGAGCCAGGAGAGCAGGGTGTCCTCTGCTTCTGGACACGTCTTGTCTGAAAGAGGAGCGTGCAGCTGGGAGCCCGGATTGCAGCCTGAGGACGAAGCCAGTGCTGAGTGAGCAGCCTGCCAGGCACTTCTTAACTGGATAATAAAGTCCCTTCTTGCTCAAGCCTGTGTGAGTTCGTGTTTTGATATATGGAGCCCCAGGAACATCCGAACTGATACATTCATTTCATAATATAATGTTGACTCTTTCACTGCTCTGCCCTTACCTTGTGTCCCTCATAATAAATCCAACTGGAAAACCTCTCCTTCGATTGTGCCTTGACCTTATGTGCATTTTCTTCTTCTTGTTTACTTTTGGCCTAAGATAGTATATGACACGTGGATTTACCCCTGTTCTCTGAAGAACACTGACTCATGGGCCGAAGTGGATTTGGGCGGCAAGAAAAATATTTGGAAACGGCAGGGCTAATTCTTCCACGTGGGTTGTCAAAGCAAGAATTAGTCTGGAATGCGTTTCTGTTAAATTTCAGGAACTGTACAGGTTTAGGGAAGATGTGTTAATATGATCCTCAGCTTCTTTGGGCTACAATATTGTTTATTTTGGTGCTGATTTCACTTCTGCCAAATAGCCGTGGCCAGGTAGCAATAAATTTACAACGCACCTGCCACTTTGGACAGAAAACGAAACTGCTAAATGTTTGCTCTTGTTATATGCTTTTGCTTTCTTCTGTCATTTTCCTTCACCTTTTACAATTTCAATTTTAGAGACAAATAACTACCACGTGGATTTAGAGGAAGCCGACTGGAGGGGCATTTTATGTCTGAATATTGGGGTGCTAGTAGTTTCCAAACACGTTCAGCAAAGGAATTGTTTTTTTCAAATGAAGCTCTTCTCAAAATCCAATAGGGGGGATTTTAAGGCAGTTCACGTCTTTGTTGTTTGGTGGGAAAACTTTATTGCGTATTGAAACCTATGGAGTACAGGTTGAAAACTCACTACCTATGGGATTAGTGAAAAATCACCTGTAATTTTTCATTCAAACTGAGATACTTTTTTTAAAAATATATTTTATTGATTTTTTTACAGAGAGGAAGGGAGAGAGATAGAGAGTTAGAAACATCGATCAGCTGCCTCCTGCACATCTCCTACTGGGGATGTGCCCGCAACCGAGGTACATGCCCCCGACTGGAATTGAACCCGGGACCTTTCAGTCCACAGGCCGACGCTCTATCCACTGAGCCAAACCGGTTTCGGCAAACTGCGATACTTTTGAGAGTGAAATAATTACACCAGGACAGCAGATAGCAATCAGCTGGGCCTGGCCCAGGCAAGCTAGAGTTGTGCTGCTGTACTAGTGGGTACTGAGCACAGGTATGAATCTGTTTGGGAAACAGTATTGAGGAAATCTGTATGAGCCCCTGTTCCCACCTTTGCAGCCCTAAACCACAGTAGTGCAGCGAAGGAGCCTGGCCCCACAGCCGGGGGAGTCACAACCATTGGGTGTGCTCAGCCCTTCAGCAAGTGTGCATTGAGCACCTGCGATGTGCCTGGTGTTTTCTGAGGTTCTGAGAGCAGCAATACATGATTCTGAAGATCCCGAAGGTTTATCCTCTTCATTCAGCAGACCTTGGCAATGAATAGTTCCATACTTGCACCGTTAACATTTGAGAGATGTAAGAAGGGATGATTTAAGTGGAAAATGGCACGGGAGCTTTCAGCCCTGAATTTGGCATTTAAACTGTGATGTATTTTAATAGGCCTTCATCTTTAACACCCCCCACCCTACCCCCACCCCGTGAAATTGGACTAAACTTAGTACCGGTGGATATCTGTGTATATAAAATAGCTGTAAGTCACTTTATGGTCAGGGATAGAGCACAGCGGTATGTGCTGGTGTTTATTTTACTAGTGGATGGTTTCTGTGTAAGTGGTGTTGAAAATAACTACGGGAAATAAAATGAGGTGTGATTCTGTGTATCTGTCTCAGCATCTTTAGGATTTGGGAGAGGACGGTGGGAGTATGTTTTGTGAATGAGAGAAAAGTGAAGAGAGAAAAGGGAATGATTAGGAAAAATAGAAAAAAAATCAAAGAAGAGTAAGACATTTAAATGAGCATTTTCTGGATTACAATAGAATATGTACTTGAAGAATTTATAAAGGTGCTTAAGGGTAGAAAAATGCCTCTCAGTTGACCTGTTCACTTTAGGCTCTTGACAGACACAGCACGCCCCCCCGCCCGCCCCCCCCCCCCCCCCTTCAGTAGCCACTGTTGATACATGGTTCCCAGTCAGGTAGTGAGGAGCCCAGGGTTTGGTATGCAGCATCCACACACTCTTGAACCTAGCTAGTTCAGCTTTCTAAATAGTTGCATTTAATGGAGGGTCTATTTTAATGTTCTACCTATAGCACATCCAAGGACTAATTCAGTATAACATATTTTAGACTGGTATTGACTTCAAAACCAGCCTTCATGTTAATTTACCGTTTTATTTTTCTTAAGACATAAAAAAGAACTTTTTAATCTGTATCTTTTAGCTCTTATGGAATAACGTGATTGATTTTGTTACCTTTAGAAGATTGTTAAGTAGTCATGTATGATTTCTTCTCACTTTTAACTACAGTTTTCATGAAGAATAAACACTTATATGTAAATCAAAATTAGTGTGCTCACAAATAACAATAGGAAGCTCAAGTATATCTTAATTATCTTTTTCCTGAATTCAGAGTTCAGGATTTAGAAATTCATTAGTCACTTATAGACACGAGCTTGAACTCCTGAACCGCGTTTGGCAAGTTCAGACGTGACTTTACATTTTAAAAATTCGTGAACACGAATTTACAGTTATTATTATTATTTTTTTTTTTTAGTGAAAGGTCAACTTTGGTAGAGATGGGAAAGGCCCATGTGACATTAAAGAGCAAACTGCTTTCCCACTCCCGTTGTTTAACCTATCCATGTTTTCGTGTAGAATAAAGCCTTGTAACCTTTGAATGACTTGCACTATTGATGAAGTGGTTGAACATATTTGTCCTGGTTTGACATGTCAAAAAAGAGAAAACAAAAGCAAACAAGTTAACTTTGTGAATAAAAATGCAGGCCTTAAAGAAAGATCTGCCTTCAAGCCTACAGTGCCACCAGAAGAGGCTGAGACTCACGCTCGGCCGGAGGAGCAGGGGCCCGGGCGGACAGGTAAGCTTTGCTGTGTTCTGACCTCATGCACCTCCGCCTGCCAGGTGTCCCAGGGTGCAGTTTCCAAAATCATGTTTTACCCATAATTTGTTTCACAGTGTTTGCACATTGTGAAATATCCTTTCCCTGAAATTTTATAGTAAAGTTAGTTTTCTTCTAATAAAAACTTATGAAGGGTGATTTTAATTTCTGAGATCAAGAGTCGAAGGCACAGAGAGATGGTTGCTCACTGCCTAAGGTCATGAACATCAGGAACAAAATGCCGTGTTTCTCCATTCAAATTCCAGGACTGCTGTACCTTATCCCCTTGAAAGGAAAGTTAGACACAGATTGTGCAGTAGTTTGTCATCATCTCTCACGTTATTTAACAGAGTCGGTCTACTGAGCTCCCAATGACAGTCTCCTTTCTACATCAAAGGACTTCCCACCCTCATGCATCTTTGAAGCCAGTTTGACATATTCATGAATTCCTAGATCAATTCAAGTACTGTACAGTGTATCTTAATCACCCCTGGGGTGAAAGCTGAAATCTCTTAAGTTGGTAAATGAAATTTGAATCCATTACTACTCTTTCCTTTTTATGCTGAGATATTTATTACAGAGTAATTTCTGCACATTTTTTATTTACTCCTCAAATATTTGGTTTCATGTAGCCACCTAGTGGAAGTGTTAGGTATAACACCACATATTTACCAGCAACTTGAAGTCCCGATTTTATCACTTTGATGAATAATATTTCCTTCCTTCCTTTTAAGATCAGTTTGCTGATTTGATTTTTAAATTTGTTCAAATCATAATCGTAGGAGAATTTACCGTCTCCCTCCCATTCCAGTAGAATTGCTATAAGCATACCATGGCAAAAGTGATTTTTTAAGACATAATTTAAATGTGTATTTGGATTTAGCATCCTAGATTTTACTTTGTGCTAAATAAATTATAATGAAAAACTAGGACCTACTCTGAAATGTGTCATTTGCTTTCATTCTTTAATTTTTTTTTTTTTTTTTTATATTTTGCTCTTTGCATGGTACTGATAACTTGTCCTCCTAAGTCTATGAGTTTGTCACCACCTCATATCCTTTTCAACCTCTGGGCTATATTTGGTTTAGTGTAAATGTTGTCTTCTCCACATTCCTCTTGTCTGACTTAGCTTCTCTCTCTCTTCTGACTACCACCTATTCCATAAACATAAGTACACACTTCTCATTAAAATGCAATACAATAACCCTCCTCTCTCTGCTCCAGTCCCTCTCCTGGCTGTACTCGCCAGGCATTTGAAAGAGGAATCTATAGTCATTTTCCTTGTTTTCCAATCAGCCATGAACTAACTCTCCATCTGGCTTCTGCCTCTACCAGCCCTCCCCAGGGAAAGGGAAGCACATTACAGAATCAAGGGGCAGATGAAATAGTTTGGTGCACTCCCACATTCAGACCAGTGCTGTGGCAGAGGGGCTGCGGAGCCTGTGAGGGCTCCCGGGCTGAGGTCTTAGTCCGATCTGTTCTGCAGAGCTCATGTTTTCCTCGCTTCTGGCACAGGAGCCATGGAAAGGCTAAGCAGAGGATCAGACTGCCACCGCCCACTTCTCCTTACGTTATGTCCTCTGGGCAAGGCGGTAAGACCGGAAGGCCAGTTAGGAAGCTATCACGGGCCTTGTGAGGGATGTTGAGGGGAGGATAGAGATGGGCAGGCTCCTCTAGTTCCATGGGACTATGTTTAAAAGTGGTTTGTGAAATATAAACATCTGTAAGAATAGAAGGGAAGCTTTGTGCTTTAGAAACGGTTGTGCTGTGTGATTAGCAAAATAGATTTCATAGTGTCAGTGTCATGATAGCTTCTGGTTTGTTGTGTGATGTTGCAATAAACCTGATAATCCGATAAGCACCACAGTGGTGTCGGAATGTCATTACTATGTGGTTCACTTTGTAATTGATATCTACTTGAATCTATGAATCCGACTGGCAGGTGGGGTTCTCCAAAGCAGAGAGGATTGTCAGTTATAATGTAAGGTCTTTTACTCACGATTCCTGGCAACTTCTGGGAGTGGTCGGCCAACCCTGCCCAGCGCAGTCCTCATACCAGCCGGGGCCCTTTTCCTGACATCAGGGAAGGAAGACGTGTGCATTAGTGTAGATCGCATTGACAGTGTACGTTAACGCATACTAACCTTGTCTCACACAGTTTTACCTTTATTTCTCAGCACTTTCCTTTCTGAAAGCTTTGCCCTTCCCATTGTCTTTATTCCATCACTAGTATGAATTTTGTTCATTAGAAACTAAAATAATTTTGCTCTGAGTGAGTTATTTTTTAAAGAAAAATCTGAACCCAAATTAGTGTTCTTGTGTTAAAATCTTAGGAAGACTTTAAAAATTTATATCTACTGTCAAAATAAAACCAGTTTGAAATATCTACTGTATTTGCCAACATAGAAAAAAACTGGTCAACTGAAGAAAAGGATGTATAGTTGATTAGCCTGGTAAATTCATTCGAATGTATGTTTATACCTGAATGCCATATTTCAGGTTCTACATTGATGTCTAGATCTTTTCCACTTAGTTATGTCTTATAATTATTTTAGGACCTCAAACTATTGAAGATGAAGTACAAGAAGAAATCCATTCCTCTCTCCATCAAACAGTTTATACAGAACATGGTATGAATTAAAACCTGTGTGTGTGTTTTCTCATGCATTACTGAAATAGGGAAATGTTTAGATGACTTGGACAGTATTTTAAAATTTCAATAATTGTTTTTTTTAAAAAAATTATTGAAAGACAAGTATTTTTGAAATAGCACTAAACTTGTTTTATTCCACCTTACTCTTAGGGAACTTCTTGCACACATCCAATAAAGAAATGGTAGGAATACATAAGCAAATTGAGACCAATGATAGCCACATCAAGAACAGGGAGGAAGAAAATAGGACACAGCCAACAAGCTGTCATGGGCTATGGGTGCTATCGCCGACCCTCACATTTCACCGCCTGCTTGGGGGACGCCAGAGCACGACGGGTCAGCTTTGAATTATGTTGGTCATGTTATCAGAGAGGAAATTAACGTGATCTACTTAGAGAACAGAAAACATTTGCCCAGCACTTACATCTGAAAAATTTCTTATGTGAACTTCTGTTCGGAGAATATGAGAGGATACTCTAGAAACCAAGGTTTTAGGGTTTCATGACTGTTTCTTGAAGCATCCCTGGATAAAAGCAGAGGGTACAATTTCAAAACGTAACTCACAAAGAAACTTTGAAGGGGGCAGAACATGTGGTACCCTGATACTTCCGACGGTTTGCTGTGAGGAAAAAAATGGTGTCTTAAAAACACACAGTTGCCATGATTTAAATTGGGCTTTAGCAGGCATATTAACTGCTTCTTTCAGGCTTAGGTGTTAGCGGGCGAAGGGCACAGCATCCCACCTGACTCCATCTGTGCTGAGGGGGAGACGGGCCCTGGCGGAGTTGTAGGCCTTGCCAGTGGCTGCTGGGGGTCCAGGAGCCGGTCCTTCCATTGCTGTGTCATCTCAGCCGGGAGAGCCACTCCTCCTGCATGCACGTCTGCCTGTGTGAGCAGGCCCAGGCTTTCCCTTCCTGCATCATCTCTTTTTTAAAACTTGAGCCCATGGGAGATGCAGTCTTAGATGAGTGAGTTGGGTAGAACGAGGTAAGTCTGTGATGGGGAAAGAGGGTGCATGTGGGGCTCGCACTCGGGCAGCAGAGGCCTCCTGAGGAGCCACATGCTGATGTCGGAGCTGAGGGAGGTGTGTGCCGAGCCAGGCCCATGTGTCCGAGGGGTTGGAAGCACAGGGAGTGTGGGAAGGAAGTCCAGAGGAGAAGAGGATGGGAAAGCCGGTGAGGGTGGCGGACGTGGGAGCGCAGGTGGAGAGCCGGGAGGGAAAGGATATTCCTACTTGATTCCAAGTAACTGAGACCACGGGGGTGTCGCATGTCCTGCACTCTGTCTGCAGTGCAAAGAAGGGGTTCGAGGGACTTTGCCGCAGGGACCTCAGGGGAGGTGGCACTGGTGACCTGGCGAGTCGGGATGGTTAGTCAAACTAAATGTCGCCAGAGGTGGGGAGAGAGAAAGTGGAAGGGTGGGTGGGTGTGGGAATTCAGACAGAGGAGGGAGAAAGCAGGTCCATCCAGCACCTGAGCTGCTTGCCACACACCTTCCTCTTGGGTCTGTTCTCGTCTGTGTCTCTACTTCCTCCTTGAAAGTAGGAGATGGCTTTTCTTCTTGTGTCGCTTCTGCAGGTGTGTCTGCAGCCCTGCTCTGGTCCAAGATCCTGGTTAGCCCACCTGCATACTTGTCTCCATTTGCATGTTCTATGAGTATCTTAGATTGAAATTGTACCTAAAACTGAATTTCTGGCTCCTCTCCACCTCACAGCTCTTCTCCTGCTCCCCCTAATATGTTTTTGCTCTTATTTCAGCCTTTTATATTTTAGTTAATATATCTACTGTTCCACTTAGTTGCTTAAGCTGAAAACCAGGGGGCCTTACTTGATGTCTGTCCCCTCCCCTCTCCCATGTGCTCCCTGAACAGGTCCCATCAGCCTTGCCTGCAGAATGTGTCTGCGCTGTGCCAGCCGTCTGTCACCTCTGGCCACGACCACTGCAGTGGCATCCAGTTGGGTCCTTGATCCATTCTGGCCCCTCTGCACCCTGTGTTTGATGTGGCCTGGCCCCTGCGCCTCACCCGGATCTGGTCTCTCTTCTGTCAGTCACTTTCTCTAGCCCAGCTGGCCTCTCTTTCCTTAGTAATTCCAAGCCTATCCCTGCCGTGGGCCTTTGCACTTGTTATATCTCCTGCTGGGGTGTGTGTGTCAGGGGCAGTGGGAGGAAGGGGGATTCAGTCTCCCCATCCTGGACTCTTCCCCATCACTCTGTTCATTACTCGGGCAAGTCCTGCAGCTGCCACTTGTTAGCTGTGCGGCTTTGGCAGACTCTCCAGTTTCCGATCCTTCAAGGTGGGATGATGGTGCCGACCTCCCAGAGGCCTGATGCTCAGAGGGCATGGCAAGGCCGGAGCCTGGTCAGCCCCGAGCAAACTGACTTCTTTGTGTCAGGCTGTCGCCGGCAGAGGAGACTCACGGGGAGTGTGCGGTGTTTGGTTCGTGTTCCCACTGAGAACAGGGCCTTCAGTGAATAGTGAGGCGGAGAGAGATCAATCCTGCTCCCGTAAAAACCATCAAACTGCGCGGCATAAAACGAGAGTAAGGACTAGGGATATGGTAAGAAGAAAAGGTCGTAAAATTAGTGAGAGGACTGAGAGTTGGTAATTGGTTTGCTGAATGGCAAAAAGTCTGAAATGAGGAGAAACAATATAGCGGGCTCAGATGAAGAGACAGGAAACATAAAGGGGCTACATGACTCAGTAACTCCTGAGGGCTTCGCTGTGCCTCATTAAAAGTCAGGGAACAAAGGCAGCCTTGCAGTCTCGGGGTAGAGCTCAGTAGCAGTAGAAATAGTAATATTGCGATTACTGTCAAGAGGATGACATTAAAAGTTATCACAACAATAATAGCAATAACAACTGAATACTTATGGGCCAGGCACTTTTCTAAGTGCTTTTACTCCTCACATCGATGCTGTATATAGGTATTCTTATTATTTCCTTTTTATGGAAGAGAAATTTCAGGCACAGAGTAGTTACGTAACTTGCTCAGGGTCACACAGCTGGTGTGGAAGAACCCCAATCTGGAGCCACATTCCAGACCTCACCCTCCTCACCACTAGACCTCACTGAACAGCCAAGTCCTTTGATTAGAATGTTATCTATGGGACATATTTGCTGAAGCCATGCCCAGTTGCTATGGGGAGGATTTTTTACACCATAATGACAAGGTTTACCGTATTGCAGTGGAATAAAGTCACCTGTCCAGCATCTACACAAAAGAATAACAGGTTGGTGTATCATAAAAGTCTCAGAAAAGAAAAGGGACATCTTTGCAAAACTTCAAGACTAAATGTAGGAACCTTCAGATACAAAGTCTACGTAATCCTTGTGACTCAGTACAGATGGCCTAGCATATGGTTTAGATAGGTGGCTGGCTGCCCTTTGCAGTGGAACGTTAGTATGCATAGAGTTATTTCAGATTGTTACATGGACTTTTATGTCAGTTCTCAATGAAAGGTCACAGGGTGGCCTTTTTCTCTGAGGTTATTGAAAAGGCAAATATATTAATATTTATGAATGTGTTTATTCATTCATGAAATACTTATTGAGCAATTCCTATAGCTGGGCAAGGTTCTAGGTCTGGGCATCCCTAGTGAACAGATTCCATGATTCCTGACCTTGGTGGGTTCATGTTCTAGCAAGAAAAGACCGTCCCCCCGTCAGGTGGACCACCAGTTGGTGAGCGTGAGAACAGATTCCAGAGTGAGAACGGACTCCAAAGTGGGTGCCAGGGACAGGGAATGCCCTGCAGCCAGGGCCAGTGTGTGTCCTTCAGAAGGGCCTTCGTGTCTGTCAGCCGCCGCTGTGGGCCCTGCTGTACACCTGTGTCTCTCTTCATTGTCGTTTTTCAAGGAGAAGACCTACACCCGGAGGAGGATGGACCAGCAAGAGAACAGCAACCAGAAGATGACGATTTTCTTGTAGTGAGAGAGACAGATGACAGATTTGAGTCGCTGGAAACTGGAACATTTCAGGAAGGTAGAACATTTTTTTGCTTTTAGAATAAAATACAATAGGTAATTTTTAATTATTGTTTTTTTTTAAGTTGAAGCTAAAAACTTCAATTAAAATGATTGTTTCCCCATAGACACAGACCACAGTGTGGTCATGGCCAGAGGGAAGGGGGCAGGGCCTGGTGGAGGCCATTCAAGGTGGGGAAAATGGGGACCTCTGTAATAGTATCAACGATGGTACCTCCTCCCTGCCTTCTTCCTCCAAGAGGGCTCAGGAACGTTAACAGTTGTTCAGAATTTGAGGGTCTTAGATGCTGCTTATGTAACAGAATGCAGTTAAGGCATTCAAATAACCTGAAACATGAGGCATTTGATATTTTTGAGGCTAGGAATTATATAGTTTGGGGAGTAAGAAGAAACACTTGTAAAAAGTCTATAATTAGGTCATAAAATTTCTGCCCTAATCTTTAATTGGGACATCAATTCTATTTGAACTTAAAAGCTGCATATTAAAAGTCTTCAGAAATGGAAAATATTTACACTCCATAGAGCTGTGGAATGAACAAGGGTAACACAAGGGGTGAGGATCCTGTGGGGGAGCCCTCTACTATCAGGGGTGCCTGGGTTAAATTATCAACACTGACCTCCCAGAAATATCAATGATGAGAGAGAATCATTGATAGGCTGCCTCCTGCACACCCCACACTGGGGATCGAGCCCACAACCTGGGCATGTGCCCTGATCAGGAATCGAACCGTGACCTCCTGGTTCATATGTCGATGCTCAACCACCGAGCCACTCCAACCAGTCCCATCCTCTCTCTTTAGCCCAGGTTATAGTGTTTGTCAACTTGTGGGGTTGTTGAGTGGATCAAAGACAAGAATGTGTGTCATTTCTAGGTGTAGTTCTAGTAGAAGATAGTGTTTGGCAGACATTTCATTGATATATTCATGTTTTATTTTAATAGTTATTTACCTTCAAAATAAGATCAATAAGAATAGATTCGGAATGTACACACACAGTATATATGCATACCACTTTATGAAAGTAGTAATATTGATTTAATTTTTTTTTCCTAGAAACTGAAGATAGTTACCATGTAGAAGAGACAGGTGAGATTTTAATTGAATATTCTTCTTTTTAAATTAGAATGAGTCTTTTCCTATAAAAAAGCATTGAGAGAGAAAAGACATTGTCTATGATTATCCTATGTAATAAAGAGCTAATATGCTAATTAGACTGGACAGCGGAACGATCTTCCAGAACAATCTTCTGGAACGACCAGTGGGCAGGGGGTAGGGGGCGGGGGGCAGGGCCGCGAGGCAGCCAGGGCTGCGAGTGCCTCCTCTTACACGAATTTTGTGCATCGGGCCTCTAGTTTATTAATAGAGGCCCGGTGCATGGATTCGTGCACCGGTGGGGTCCCTTGGCCTGGCTTGTGCCCTCTCGCAATCTGGGAGCCCTTGGGGGATGTCAGCCGGTTTTAGCCTGATCCCTGTAGGCCAGGCCGAGGGACCCCACTGGTGCATGAATCCGTGCACTGGGCCTCTAGTATGCATATAAGATACTTGGTTAATCTCTTCCCGCCCTACCCTTCCCCCCTTTCCTCTGAGATTCATCATTCTGTTCCATGTTTTCATGCCTGTGGTTTCCGCTCCTGCGTTGAGCATGTGTCCCCTGGTGGTCAGTGCATGTCATAGCTACTGGGCGGTTGGCTGGTCGCTTAGGCTTTTATATGTAGACTAGAGGCCCGGTGCACGAAAATTCATGCACTCAGGGGGTCCCTCAGCCTGGCCTGCGCCCTCTCGCAGTCCAGGACCTCTCAGAGGGTGTCCACCTGCCAGCTTAGGCCCGATCTCCCCAGGGATCGGGCCTAAGCTGGCAGTCAGACATCCCTCTGGTATCCTGGCAGTTGGACATCCTTAGCACTGCTGAGATAGGAGAGGCTTCTGCCATCGCCGTTGTACTGGCAGTCGTCAGCCTGTTTTGTGGCTGAGCGGAGCTCCCCCTGTGGGAGTGAACTGATCACCAAAGGGCAGTTCCTGCATTGTGCATCTGCCCTCTGGTGGTCAGTGTGCATCATAGCGACTGGTAAATTTGCATATTATCCTTTTATTATATAGGATTATATCTAATATATCAAATATCATATAACATATACTTAATGATTGATATTTTATATAATGTTATATCATAATTATGTGTACATGCATATGTATCTGTATTTTTGTCAATGTAGTTTTTGTTTTTTTTGAAGTCTACTTCCTGACGATAAGTTCCCAGTAGTGGGATTATTAGGTCAAAAGATACAGTAGAATTGCATGTTTTGTAGTCTTAAATGATAGTCAGTGAAAGGTCAAAATAGCATATTGTTGCACGCTGTGTCCCCAGAAGGGGTGGCCACACTGAAGATGAGCATCACATCTTCCAGTAACAAGCCTGTGGTGTTGGCCAGTGTCCTCCCAGCGTTGGAGTCGACCCTTCTTCCTGTGCTGGGGGGCCATGTCAACAGTATCTATCTGTGATCACTAAAATTGTATTGCGGCCTGAGCAAACTCTGGTATTGAGTCCAAGTGATGGGCTGGGCGATGTGTGTCCTTGCTCAGGCTCAGGCAGGGTTGCTGGGCTGATGTGAGGAGGGCTCCCTGCACTGCTATCTCTGTCTATGTGTCAGTCTGCCCTATTTTGTTTTTCTGACTGTAGTTGAATTTGCGTAAGCTAAATAAGAATATAGCTCCACTACTTTGTGGTGGGAACTGTATTGAGCTTTGAGCACAGGTAGTACCTGTTTGTTCCAGGGGTGAATGTGAGTTGGAAATCATGATTTTTTAATATATGTATATATATTTATATTGATTTCAGAGAGGTAGGGAGAGGGAGAGAGAAATAGAAACATCAGTGAGAGAGAATCATTGATCTGCTGCCTCCTGCACGCCTCCTGCTGGGGATCGAGCCCACAAGCCAGCATGTGCCCTTGACCAGAATCGAACCCAGGAGCCTTCAGTCTGCATGCTGATGCTCTATCCACTGAACCGAACCAGCTAGGGTGGAACATCATGATTTGATTTTATGTTTCTGTCATTACTAGAAACTGTTCTTTTCCTGATTTGAATATTAAGTGTAATCCTTCTTACTTGAGCCACATTAGTAATTTCCTAATTATTTTCTCATTTGTAGCTTCACAGACCTCTAACCAGGACGTGGAAGAGATGACGTATGAACAGGAAACCCCAGGTTTGTGAGATGTGTTTCTGTTGGACACAGTCGCCGAGGCCCTTTTAACCTTGGGTTAATGATTCATTCTGACTCCACAGAGTACTCTTCATCACACTCCGGGATCAGTTTTGGTTGCTCAGATAGTTATGGAAATTTATGAATACAGTTTGATATTATATGGAGAAATGAGGGAAAAAGGACCTGTGTTTTTCAAATCTCCGCTGGGATGTTGTTCTTATAGATCAGACCAGAGAGCATTTGGAAATTAATGAGGCAGAAGGATGGAATACGTCAGCTGGGTGCGAATCCTAGCACTGCTCCTTCCTATCTTTTGACTAGAGAGTAAATGATGGAATTTGATATATATTAAATATTATTAAAGGCCCAGTGAATGAAATTCATGCACAGTGGGGTCCCTAGGCCTGGCTGGCGATCAGGGCCGATCAGGTTCCCCGCCTCCCCCTCTCCTCCTTCCCTCACCTCCCGCATCTGCCACCACCCACCCCTGGTTCCCCATCCCAGCCCCGATAGGGTGATCGGGACCTGCTGGCTGAGGGGAGGGACCAGGAGGTTGGCCTGCAGACCCCATCGGCGATTGGGGCCTGTGGTCTTGGGGCAGCTCCTGCATTGAGCATCTGCCCCCTGGTGGCCAGTGCACATCATGGTGACTGGTCATTCCATCGTAATGGTTGCTTAGGATTTTATAAATATAGATAATGATAATATCTGTCTGACACAGTTGTAAAGATTATAATTTAACTTTAAAGTAATTTTAGAATGATGTCTAGTAATGTGTTTGGTTTTTAATGTTTATCAAAGATGTATGTTTTTTCTTTTTAGATTCCACTGAACCAGCAACAGATGACTATGAAAAAATGTACCATGATGCAGGTATTAAATGAATATTGTTTTCAGATTTTAAACATTATTAAGGCTTGACAGCTGTAATGCTATGTTAACATGGTGATTTTTCTGTTAAAGGAGCCTGAGAAATAATAGTAACACCTAATATAAGACTTTCTACTTTGTAACAAAATATTATTATTTAAAAATATCAGGCTTTCATATTTCACCTCATCTACCACTGGCTTCATAGGAAACAGGATATTAATTCCTAACTCTACTTTAGCATATCTCGCTTTATGCCAGTTTGAGGAATTTGTATGAAATAATTTTACCTGTCTTTTCTCAAGTTGTTTCTGGACTGAGGCATTTTTCATTGTGCAGACATTAATATTTAAAGAAATAGAATTCTGTATTGGAGATTAAGTTGTGTTTTTTAGCTAAGCAGTTATACAGAATGACTCAATACTTATTTTGATTTTATTCTTTTTTTTCTGCAGATGAAGTAACGTACCAAGACTCTGACCAAACAGGTGTGAAATGCTTCTTAAACTTAAGCCATCTACTTGTTTGAAAATCTACTCATAGTTTGACTGTAATAGTATACAGAACAATTTTTTAAGCTACAAAACCATAACTTGAAACATTCAAATGAATGGTAGTTTGCAAAGACTTGACTTGGGGAGATTGTTTACCTATTTCATGGTTTGCCATTGCTTAAATAATTTCTTCAATTATTTGCAAGTTGCCTTAGGAAGCAGTTAAGAATTATTGAGGAAATCGTATTTCATTACTTTGTAGTCATCGCTGTCTTTTGACTAAAATATGTCTTGTGCTTGGAAAGCTGCCTCGGTCCCAGTTTAACTACTGTAGCTGCTTCCACAGATTAATCCCACTCTTAAATAAAGGTGCATGGAGAAGGGGGCAGAAGAATTCCCTTCCAGGCCTACAGGCAGCATGAAGAAAGTAGTTCTGGCAAATGTGTGGCATGAGTAGGGTCAGATTCAGGGTAGGCAATTGTAGCTCCTTTTGTTGCCTGAGCAATTCTCGCGCTGTTTTATTAAATTCATTGAAATACACTATTTTTGCTGTTTCCCAGATGAGAAAAACGTGTTTCAGAGAATGTAAATAATGTGCACAAGTTCATACGACTAAGCGAGGATAGAGCTAGTGGACTGTGGAAGGAAGGTAGTCAGGTATTATAACCGCGTGTGCAGCAAGAAGGATGGAGAAATGTTGGTGCTCCAGTCCCATGTGGAGGGCTTTCTGTTGTTAGGTGGTCTTAGGGTGTGACATTTCTGTATGAAGAATACAGAGTCCCTACTTCAAGAAACTTGTATTCTCATGATTGGTGAGTATGGATTGGAGAAAATTAAGAATGGCTGTGTGTAGACCTGATAAAGTAATTTATTAAGTGTGTGTATTTAAGATTTGAGGTCCTATCAAGATCACCATCCACAGTGACTGTTTATACTGGGATATGAATGATACCCTTGGAGGTATCCTGGATTCTATCCTTAGGGACTAATATTGGAAATAAGTTGGCAACTATGTATTTAGATTTTCTTTTCAGTTTATGAGTTTGAAGGAGAAGCTAGGAATTTGGAAATTAAAAGTTGCATATAGAGGTAGGATTTGAGATCCTTTTCTAATGTCTGCCTGTCGTTTTAGTGTTTTTCTAAATATAATGGAAAGAACATATTTGGAATGTAATTTATAGACTAGGTCTAGAGAACTTTAAAATTAAACTGAAGTGTAAAATTAGATGCCATGCCAGTATACATAAAAATAAATGTATTTTCATAGGCAGAGTATCATCTATAATAACAAAAGCATAATCTGCTAATTAGACTGGATGTCCTTCTGGATGACCTTCCGGACAAAGCTGGGACTGCGAGGGAAGCCGGTGCAGGCAGTGGGGGGAAGGAAGGCCTACTCTTGCACGAATTCCATACATCGGGCCTCTAGTAAAAAATATAATTTAAAATGTTAACAAAGAATAATAAATATGATGTAAGGTATACAAATCTGGTGAGATACTTCGGATTACCTTGCTGTAGAACATAAACTTTTTCAAACAAAATAGATCTAATACAACACAGGATTATTCACTATGTGTTAAAAAGATACCTTTGTGGAATTCAGGAACCAAACTAGGGAAACCAAGTAACTATGTATAAGTGAGACTGTAAGGAAGGTGAAAACAAAACCATTTTTAGTGGGGAAAAAACAATATATTCTGTACTAAATTCTCCAAACTCTAGAACTTGGAAAACATCGTTTACTAAAGCTATAGAGGGATCCAGCTTTTCACATAGAAAATATTCTAGAAAGCATCAGACCTGCCTTGGGTACATCTGAGAAACAGCCTTACCGTCTCATTGATGTATTTATTTGTATACCACATGCGTACCAAGTACTTGTGTCCACAGCATAGGACACAGGAGCAGTGCTGGTGAGGGACACACACAAGGTTCCTGTTCCCATGGACCTTTATTTTAGCAGGGGGTACAAATCACACAAATAACTTCAGGTTAGCATTTAGTTACAGTTGTGCTAAGGCAGCGGTTCTCAACCTGTGGGTCGCGACCCCTTTGGGGATCGAACGACCCTTTCACAGGGGTCGCCTAAGACCATCGGAAAACACATATAATTACATATTGTTTTTGTGATGAATCACTTTGCTTTAATTATGTTCAATTTGTAACAATGAAAATACATCCTGCATATCAGATATTTACATTACGATTCATAACAGTAGCAACATTACAGTTATGAAGTAGCAACGAAAATAATTTTATGGTTGGGGGTCACCACAACACGAGGAACTGTATTGAAGGGTCGCGGCATTAGGAAGGTGAGAACCACTGGTCTAACGGGTCTAATGCATAGTAAATGGACTGGAGAGAGTAGCTGTGGAGAGACCATTTAGGTTACTCAGTTATACAGATCTGATCTTGCCCCGAGTCACATCTGTGCCAGGCAAGGAGTCAAAGGAGATGAGTTTCTAGAGAGAGGTGTTCAGCAGTGTCCCATGCTGCTGAGAGCCCTCTCAAGGTGAGCACGGAAGACGTGCGTTCGAGCTGGTACTATAGAGACCCGTCAGGGACCTTGGCAAGAAGCTGGACAGTGAGGAGAGCAGTTTAAACCAGGCTGGTGGCCGTGAAGGTGAAGAGAAGTGGGCAAAGCTGAGAAATGTTAGAAGATAGAATTGATGGGCCTTGATGTGTGGGTGTGGCTGGGGAGGGGAGCCGGTGTCAGCCACATCCACTGTTCTGCCTTCTGCATCTGATGGATGGGTTTTTTTTTTCCCCTAAGTCAGGCGAGACTGGAAACCAGGAACTGGAAGCCAGATGGTCCTGTCCACACATGGTGAAAGTTCATATTGAGACATCCAAGGGGAGATAAGCTGATAGATGATGTTTGATCTCAGAAGACAAGTCCAGTTTGTGGTTGTGAGTTTGAGAATCATGAGCAATTGAAGCCAAAGTCTGAGATCATAAGGAGAGGATAGAGTGGGAAGATGGGAGGTTCTGTGGCTGGACTTCGATGAAAGCTAACATTTCATACCTGGTAAGAAAAGGATGAAATGATCAAGAAGACCGAGAAGGAAAAATGAAGGAATAAAAGGAGAATGTGGTCACGTTAAAGTTTAAGTGCAACAGTGTTTGAAAAGGAAGGAGATGCTAAGAGTTCTAGGATATTAACCCTTTGAGTGCCAACCAATATCCTAGGAACGATGCTAAAATTGCCAAGGCATTTTTGCTGATTTTACAGCAGTTTAGGGAAAAAAATTATGAATCGCAAGTAAATGAAGTTACATATTCAAAAACTTAAGGAAACCTTTACTACATTGACATATTTAGCAATATCATCATCACTAATAAAAGCAGACTTAGACCTGGACGCCATTTCGAAGCTTTGATAGCGCTCCCGGCACTCAAGGGGTTAAGGGTGGAAAGTATCCAGTAAATTCAATGAGGGGTTTGTCTCTTCAGAAACAGACTCTTAGACGCAGAGGGGAGAGGGTCGCAGAGGGGAGAGGGTCGAGGGATGGGTGAAAAGGGTGAAGGGGAATAAGAGGTACACACAGGTATAAAATAGATAAGTCATGAGGATGTAATGTACAACACAGAGAACATAGTCAATGATGTTGTAATAACTTTGGTGACACGTGGTTACTAGATTATCGTGGTGGTCTCTTTGTAGGTATATACATGTAGAATCCCTGTGTTCACCTGAAACTAATATAACATTGTATGCCAGCCATGCTTTCATTTTTTTTTTTTTAAAAAAAGAGGTGCTCATTGGTGGGCTGAGAGGAGCCTTTTTTGGGTCATGGTTGGGGCTGTGAGATGGGTTGAAGTGGGTGGAGAAGAGGAAGTGAGGAGATGGGACATCAAGTGTAAATGACTAAGCAGATTAGACTGAAGTGGAGGACAGAGAGAAAGCCAGTGAAGCAGGCTCAAGAAAGAGCTTTTATTTTTCTAAGTTGGTAGAGATCGAGTATGTGTATGTACACGGATCAGGGGGTGGCAGATGAGCAGGCATTCACTGCCCCTCCCTCTGACAAAGGCCACCGCAGGACAGGGAGCGGTATGTTAGAATTGTCCCTGGCCCCATCCACCTCAGCACTGAGAATAAAATCACAAAGATAGTAGGTGCTCCAAAAAAATGTTTTTTTATTAAATTGACAAAAGGAATAAATTGATAATCGTGCTTGGAAAATAAGAAGTTCGCTCTTAGTGTACAAGAAATTTTGAGGCGTTTTGGAAAATGGAAAAAGCCAGAGAGGCAAGCTGGGTGGAGCCTTGGGTAACTCAGAGCCCCCACCACAGACGTGAAGAAAGTAAAAATAGGAAATTCAGTGCCACCTGGGAAGACGCAAGGTATAGGATCCTGGTTAGAAGTGATTCGGGAGGAACCTTAGTGTTCCCCGTTCTACAGGAAGAACGCAGAAATAATTGCTCCTGTGGCTAAAATGTGGCTGACCTTGAGTTTGAATCTGGGCTTGTTGCCTGTGAGGCCACTCTGTACCCTGCCCTTGCCCAGTGGCTGAGCCCCAGGATAAGTAGAACAGTGTCTCTGCTCTTGAACCGCCCAGCCAGTGTTGTGTTGCAATGAGAGTCATGCATTGCTAAAGGGCTCTTTTGTGTGTGTGTGTGTGTGTGGTTTTTTTTTAATTTCTTTATTGATTTATTACATATGTGTCCTTGTGTTTTTTTATAGTATATGAACCATCGGAAAGTGAAGGGGGGATGGAAAGCTCAGGTAAGCTTTTTCTCTAAGCAAATGTTTCCTCCTGCAAGACAGCCCCTTGTATTTGTTAAAACTTGTACAACTCATGGAACAGAGATAGATGTAGGAAGAAATATAAGACATTTTCATTTCACCAAGGAAGTAATTGGATATTGTCCTTGTATTTATTCCCTACTTATGGTGGAAGTTTTCTGTCAACGGGGATAACGTCAGCCTACCTGATCTATGCTTTGAGTATAATTCGGAAATTGAAGTCGATATGCTAGTATACATACTTGTGAGCCTCTCTGTAAGAAACTAGTCTAAAAAGTGCCAGATTTAGGTATCTGAGTGGATATAAGTTATTCAGGGATCTCATGGAGTTGAGTTAATGTAATATGTGTTTGGGTTTTATTTTGTTTTTTAGATAATACTGTAGAAGAGTCAAACATAATCTTAGAAGGTAAGTTAATTTTATAGAGATGGTTACACTTTTCATATTGACAATGTGTTCATGTATTCAGCAAGTATTGCCTAAGCACTTACTCTTAAATCGGTGTACAGTGCTCAGGGGTCAGAGGACGAGAGTGCCCAGGTTACAGGCCAGAGGTGGCTAAGCTGGCTTGCAGTGAGGAGGGCTACTTTAAATTCCAGGGGGAGGGGTTAGCCGCGGGCAGAGATGGGTTGAAAGTTGGGTCCTCTGTTTTCAGGCATTTTGGTCAGCCAGTAGAGGACTTAGCAGAGGCTGTTTGGGGAGTTCTGTTGGTGGACAGGGGGGCCCTGGACTGTGTACCCTCAGCCCACCTGCAGTTTCTGTGCTCCTGCACACCGGAGTGGACAGCAGGCGGGTGCTCATTATCTTTACGCCCACCAACCTTCTCTTTCCCAGTATTCCCTTCCCTTGGTTGGTGGCATCAATATATACTTGGATGCCCAAACGAGAAATGTGGGAGCCATCATGGAACCCCCCTCCCCCTGTTTCTATAGCTAATCCTGTTGAACAGGCTACCTCAGCACTTCTCAGATCTGTTCTTTTCCCTGTAGCCTTTGAGATCTCGTTCAGCCCCATCATCTTCTAGCCAGTCTTCTTAATCCCTGCACGTCCCTTTCACATCCGTCTTCCACAGTGTCTTCAGGAAGATCTCTTTAGAAGTACAGAGCTGGCTATATCAGTCCTGTGCTTAAACCCTCTGTTCTTCCCCATCTGTGTCATTAGGGTTCCTTTCTGTTGCAGGGAACAGAAAACCAAACCTGAATTGGCTTAAGCAATAAAAAGACAGGGAACAGATTAGGTGGGGCCTTGGAGGAATTTGGATTATAATCTAAATACAGTGAGAGTCCATGGGAACACTTAATAAGATAGGGCACGGCCTGCTTTATGTTGTGAACAGTTACTTCTAGTTGGAGAATGGGTTGAGTGGAGCAATAATGGAAACAGAGACCACCCTGTTCGGAAATTATTGGGCACTAATCCAGGGAGGTGGCCGTGGTGCCCCGGAGTAAGATCATGACGGTGGAAATGGAGGGGAGAGTTTTGAACTTGAGATCTGTTTTAGAATGACAGGTGATGGAACTTTCTGATGGTTGTGAAGTAAAGAGGAATAAAGGCGGCCTTACTTTGGTTTGGGTTGAATACCTGTCGAATGCTGTGGCCATTTGCTGAGAAGAAAAGTAGGACATAGTAGGAACTGGTTTAGGGGAGAAAATCAGAGTCTCCACAGTAGATGTTTGGCGTCTGGGAATTATGTGAGAGACCCAGATGGAGGCGGCAAGTAGGGAGTTGAATATGCCAATCCCAACAGGTGCGTGAGATCCGAGGTGGGTGTACCTGTTCGGGCGCCATCATCATGAGGATGGTGCTGACTTCATGGAAGTGGTTAAGGTCATTTTGGGGTGAGCACAGAGGGAGAAGACAAGCAGCCCCAGGCTGAGCTCTAAGGAATCACGACACTGTGAGGTTTGTTGGAGCCTGAACAGCTGTGAGGCAGGCGGAAAACCAGTGGAGAAGAACGTGAACGAGCAGGAGAGCTATTGAGTAACTCAATGGGAGTGAGAGCCAGTCACAGAGGGAAGGTGAGGGGGGTGGGGTGGGGAAAGATCAACCAAAAAAAATGTATGCATAAATGCATAACCCGTGGACACAGACTATAGGGTGGTGAAGGCCTGGGGTAGGGGTGGTACGGGCTAGAAGAAGTCAATGGAGGGAAAAAGGGGACATATGTAATACCTTCTACAACAAAGTTTAAAAAAAAAATTTTTTTTAAAGTCTTGGAGGAAAAAAAAGTATGTTGTATCAATAGGCAACTCTTTCAGGTTGTACTCGTATAATTTATTTGCTATTTCCTTTTCAAAATCCTCTTGCTATATCATTACCAAAATAAATTTCTGATATGTTTGTTACATTTATTCAGAATAAAATTAGGTAGTAATAATAAGGCTTTCTTAGTGATGGAAATAACACAAGTGATACTTTATGATTCACATGGTTTTTTTCAAATGTACCTGAAATGTTCAAAAGTAAAAGAAATTCTGAGAAAACAAACAAGCAAGCACTGGTAGAGTTGATAACGTGCTAACATGTCTCTAAAGTATTAAGAACAAAATCAGTAGGCAGGCCATTCACAAGCAGTCAATTCGGGAAGCTAGGCAATGCCGAGGGTGCTTCCCTAAAAGAAGGGAAAGGGGGAATAGGAGGGATTTTTTTTTCTGTCCCCTTTTTACTTTCGTATAAACTATTTTCAGATCTTCTGTTTTAAGCTTGTATCATTTTTATGATTAGAAGCAAATTAATGCCAGAAGAAAAATGATTAAAATGGCTACATAAATATTTTTGGTTTTAGAAAACGCTATTAGAAACTCTTCCCCTTGGCCCTTAAGGAGCAGAAGGAAAGCTGCTCTGACCTCATCTCTAGGTGAAGGTGCTGTCACATGGCTGTCAGATAGGAAGGTGCAGTACGTGATGCAGTTTTATAGCGTGAATTTACATCAGTGTGTCCTACAACTGGGCGGTGAGATCTGCGGTTGGCTTAGTTGTAAGTGGCTGAAGCAACCAGGCGAAAAGAGAAGATGTTAAAAATTCATGTCCGCATTTTGGCTGGTCTTGGAATATGTTATCGTGAGTAGTATTTTTCAAAAACCTTTATTAGATATAGTGGTTTATTTTCAACATTATATTTTAATTTAATTTCTTTGTGTTGTTTCATTCACATTGAAATTAGGTTATGAGTTAAAAAAAATTTTTTTTTCAAGAAGAAACAAGATGCTTTAAATGTCTTTCCTCAGCTTTCCTATCAAGTGTGATGAAAAATGTGGTGAAATCCTAGGTTTTCGTTCGCGTCTCCTTTGCCTGGCAGTGAGGTTGAGGTTGGTCCGTTAGGCAGGTCATATCGTAAAGTCCATTGTACAGGACACTTGAAAAAAATATACAACATTTTACAAAGTCTATAGCTAGTTCTCCTTTGTTGTGATGGTGTAAAAACTTACATGTTTTTATAATGACTGCAACTGAATCCCAGAGAAGCCTATAAAATCATCACTGAACCTTTAATACCAGCAAGCTGGATTTTAAACACTGGTCAGCAACATGTAATGGGTTGTAACTGTGCTGTTTATTTCAGAAGCACACGTGGCCCCAGCAGAGGAGCATCAGGAAATCCCACCAGGTATGACATTTTGTGAGATGTATCGCTGTTTCCTTTTTTTGTTGTTCGATATAAAATATGCTCTTGATATTCACACTAGCTGAATGAACTACATCTAGGAAGAGGAAGAGTGGTGAGAGAGGAAGATGAATTATAACTTAAATTTTAAAAGAAAATTTTCTGTGTTTGGGTCAGGTGACCCCCATTTCAAAGTAATGGAAAAGACACATCAGAACGTGACTAGAATTTGCGGGCTATTCATGATCAGAGTTCCATGTGACTTTTGCTGTGCTCCACGGCAATAGAAGTAGTGGTGGTGGTGGGAGGAGGAGGAGGAGGAGGAGGAGGAGGAGGAGGAGGAGGAGGAGGAGGAGGAGTTGGGATTTTATGTTTCCCTTTCGTTGACTATTTGGTGGATGATAAGGAATCAGAATTGCCTTAAGCTGCAAGTTTAATGGCACAGACCTTTGTGATACCACTCCTCTTCCTCCCAGTCCGCTATCTCCTGGAGACCATCACGAATGCCCCTGGCAGGCCAGGCTGCCTGAGACTCGTCTGTACCCGGGTCTTTCCTTTCAGCCACCGCGTGAACCCGTTTCTCTGCCTTCCCCCACATGTCCCTCTCATCATCAGTGAAGAATGGGAAAAGCATTTCCCCCAGGGCCTATGTTTGTGGATGCGTTTCAGAGATGACATTAACTATACTGCAATCAGAAATAGACATGTAACCCTCCTGTTCTCATAGTGGGGGGAAATGTTTTATGAAGAGAGGACTTTCCAATACTTCTTTCCTAAGTGTATGTTTCTTGTTTCTGTGTCTTATTTCCTTTTTTTGTGTGTGTGTCATATATTCATTTTTTTTTACTCCTATCTTTCACTTTATGCCTAATGTGAATTTTGTAGCAGTGATGTGCATTACTGTTGATTTTGGTAGAAATAATTGTGCTTGCCAAACTTTCTGGAATACTAAATTTCAAGGGGGAAAAAATTTTGTAATCAAAGAATATTTTTTTATACTTCTGCTCCTCTTTGCTTATTTAATGGGTATTTTACGTTTTGGTAGTTGTCATACCACATGCATTTATAATAATATGTACAGATTCTTAAAAGAACTGAGTTGTTAGCATTAGAATATGAATGAGAAGGGAGCCCATGGAGAAATGGATCTTTTACGTGATGGCTGCTGCGCATCCATGTATTTGGTGTTCAGGACAGTTGCACAGAGCGGGGAAGGCCAGCGTTCTGTCTTATTGCTGGCGCTAACTCGGCCCTGTTGAATCATGGGTCACAGAGTGCCTTGTTCTATCTCGAGAAGGCAGAGCAGGTTCCTGGATTTGCATTTTGATGGCTACCCACTCCTTTAAAGAAAATGTTTTATAAGTATTCCTAAAATGACGCATTTCCTAGAATATTGACTTTCTCCAGTTACAGTTCCTATTTTTTTTTTTTTTAATATTGACCTAACTTTAGTGAAGGTAATGAACAGTAATATGTCCTAACCAAAAAGTTCTGTGCTTTTATTTCCATGTTTTATAGACTAAGCCCCAGAATTTCCTTGGCACATAAATCTAAAGTACCAAGCGGTTGGGGTGCTGGACGAAAGTGGTTTTCAGATGAGATAGTTAACTGCCGAAGCAGTTAATATGCATACCGTCTGCACGTAATAAGCTCTCAGTAAATGGTGGCTGTGGTTATTACTGTTCACTAATTAATTAGCCTGTTCTTTCAAGTGGATCAAGGGAAGCTAAATTCTGAAAGACCCGCTCAAGAAGTTGTAACTTGTAATTTGGTGTCATAAAATTTTGATGGACCCGCTGCACAGTTGCAGTTTAACCTTGCCCAAAGAGAATGGAAGGCCGAGAGTTAGCATAGTTATTTTTAATGGTTTGCTTATTTCTGTTATCTCCTCAGTCATAACTTTATAGGCAATGTTTTTTATTATTCAGTCTTACAAAATAACAAAAGTCATAAATCTGTGTTGGTGAGCTTTTGTTCAGTAGGATCACTGCTTTTGGAATAGTGTTTAATTATGTATGTGGTTGCAGAAACCCTGGGCACACTAATTGTAGGGCCCGTCGCCTTGCTGCCTTTCTGTCTTTAAATTCTTTATTCAGTGGAAAACTCAAATTGGAGAGCTCTGAGAAATGTGGGCTTCTAGTTCACTTTTTCCTGGCCCTCAGAATTTAATTGGTGATTACTTTGCCTTCCTGATCCTTCTAAGACTAGGTTACACAGTTTTAATAATGCTTATTAAGTCCTTGATTGGAGTCATTGGTGTGATAATTCCATGGGGCAGGAACTGTCTGATGTAGGGTTGTATCCAGCCACACACGAGGGGATGATGAATGCTGGCATTTATTAGCAGTATCTGGTGTTCTTCTAAGCACATGACATGAATAACTCCTTCGATATTTCCAATAGCCCAAGAAGTAGACATGCTGTGTCCCCATTTTACAGATGAGAAAACTTCCGCATAGCAAGGCAGAGTGGCCTGCCTGTGGTCACAGAGCTGACAAGTGGGAGAACTGAGATGACCTTTACATTCTGGCTTCAGAGTTCACACTCTCAGCTGCTGTGCGCTAGAGGATTTTAAATAAATGAAGGTGTAAGAGCTGATGAGCTCTGAAGGCTGTTTTGGCCTGATAAAGCTAAGGATGTATTGTGGCATTTTTCTCTTAATATGTATCAGTACATCAGGTAGGACTTAGAAATGTCGAAGGTTAATTATGATTCATTGTAGAGAAGCAAATTGTCCAATAGTTTACATTTTGCTGTCTTTTGTTTATATCTGTAAATGTACAAGTGCTTTGCAGGCAAGGAGGTAAGAGGTCATTCTAAGAATTGATCATATTGATACTAGAAATTAATTATTTTGAATACCAGAATTTTAAAAATGGATTTTGGAATCCCTATTTTTTTTAGTGGATTTCCACCTTTCTCTTCAAACTCAGATTTTTACTTGAAATTATACTGCATATTTCTAGCAATATGACAGCATAAAAATATGTAGCCTCAATTGAATGACCGAAGAAATAATCGGTTAGGGAATTTATCAGGGTAAAGTTTCCTGCCAAATAATACTTTCAGATCATTTGACTAACTGGTTTCATCAAGACTTTCCTGTCATCCAATGCTAGGAAAAAAAGTGAATTTTATATTTTGCTATTATAATCATGTTATTCAGAACAGGGGTATGTGAGCAGCAGTGTTTGCTGGTGACTCTGCTGCTCCTTTCTCTCTGAAAGGGGAGATTGCGCGTTCCATTTGTTACGTTTATACCGAGTTGCACTGTCCAGTACTCCAGCCGTGGTGAGGGTTTCACTCCTGTGCCGCCCCTGCCAGCCAGCATTTTCTAACACTGATCAGTAAGGCTCATGACCAGCTTCAGGATGGCAGCTAGAGAGGTTTTAGCTTATATAAAAAGTGCCTAGTATACATATTATTGATACTGATTTGATCATTCACTTATTCAAGAAATACAAATTGAGCAACTACTATGGTACAGGCGCTGCACCGGGCAGTACAGATAAATGATCAACAGCATCGTCCCTGCCTTGTAGTGCTCATAGTCCCGGGGCATGCAGCTGAGGAAAACAGCCAGCGTGATGCTGTTAACTTCTCAGAGTGGAGCATGGGGCAGCACCCGGAAGGAGGGACACCTAGCCCAACTTTTGTGGGGGAAGGGGTGCGGTAAGGCCTCCCATGTGCTGTGCTGGAGCTGGGTTTTGAGGTGCTGACAGAAGTGACAGGAGCTGGCAGGTGGGAGCAGGGGTAGAAGTGCCTGCAGAACAAAGACGGAGACGGTGTGTGCCACATAAGGTGTAAGAAGACGCAGTGGGAAAGCAGGCAGGCTTCACTTCTTGGAGCATTTCAAATGTGATGTTTAAAATTCTTTTAAATATTTTTATTGATTTCAGAGAGAAAGGGAGAAGGAGACAGAGATAGAGATATCAATGATGTTAATCATAGATTGGCTGTCTCCTGAACCCCCACTACTGGGGATCGAGTCTGAAACCTGGCCATGTGCTTTGAGCAGGAAGCAACCATGGCCTCCTGGTCCATAGGAAGACACTCAACCCCTGAGCCGTACCTGACAGGGCTGATGTTTAAAATTTTGAAGCTGGGTCTAAAAGTGACAGGAAGCCACTGAAACATTCCAAGCACAGGAGTCACATGATCAAGTCCAGATTTGAAAAGAGGAGTTAGAGAGGAGGTAAGAGGGCAGATGCATTAATCTAGAAATGGGAGCCTGAACTGTGGTGGAAGCGATGGATAGACGGATTTCATAGACATCATAGTGGACATAATTTGATGGGAGAGGCGGCTGATTGAGGGGTAAGAGTTGAGGATGATTCCTGTGTTTCTGACTTGAGTGAATGCATGATGGAACCTTAAAGGAGATGCAGGAGGAAACAGGGTAGCAGGGAGATGACTGGCCTGATGTTGGAGATGTTGGGTTTGCACCTTGGTGAACCACCTCTGGTGGGGAGTCACCTTTAAATGGTTAGAAGCATATTGTTCACAATTAACAACTGAGCTTTTAGTTTATTTGCTTTTTATCAGTACTCATCATTTTACTTTGAACAACTTCCAATAGTCTCACGATATTTTTGATTGCACAGGTTACAGAATGCTTATTCCTCTCACAGTCTAGCTAATTGATAAATTCTAAGAAAACCTAAAGTCAAACTCATTTTTAAAACTTTTTCTCTTGAAGTATAGTTTATACACAGATAGGTGCGCCAATGTTGAGCACACAGTTTGGTGAACTTGTATCTGTATAAAAATCCTTGTACCCGCTACTCAGGATGCTTATAGCACCCAGAAATCTCCTCTTCCCCCTCGCAGTAACACCCTACCACAGGTAACTGCTGTCCTCACCTGTACTGTATAGATTGTTGTGCCTACTTTTGAATTTAATACTTTTGAATTTAATTCAATAGAACCACAAGTCAATTCATACAAATTATATATACATATATATATATATCTTTTTGTGACTAGTTTTTATTGCTCAGCAT